GTATGCATTTTTACCATTGATTTTGACTGCTTTTATAAATTCATATATATATTTTGGGAGAAACATACACGAAAAACTTCTTTCTTGCACTCGTTTGATAGAAAATTACACCTCCTTTAAATTTCACCCATAAAAAAGGGTTTTTCTAAGTTTTAAAAAAAGTCTCTAAATTGCCGAATAATTTTGAAGACTACCAACTGCTCCACCTGAATTCAAGTTTTGCAAACTACGTACTGTGTACATCCCATTTAAGAAAAAGTACGTTTTTGTCTACGGTTTGAGGAAGAGGTCGCATTGTTCGCGTAAAATGTTGCAATAGATGTGCAGCATGTTCTATACATTATAGGCAGCATTAATAAATTGATGGATACGATGTACTGCGGATAAACCCCTCACAATCGTAAAAAACTCATAATTCGAACTTCTTCTAAAACCAAATGATACTCTTCTTCTAAGTAGTACATTTAAAGAAGGCGCGATTTGCTACCAAATGAGTGCAAGAAAGAATGTTTTCGTGAATGTTTTTCATAACCTATTTTTGAATTTATAAAGGCAGTCGAAATCAATGATAAAAATACAAACTATTTACATAGCCATTTTTTACCGTAAATACTTTTTGCTAGCGGTCAGAAGGAGGCTGATTAAAAAGCCAGCAGCATATCGTGACTGAAATGACTTGAGAATAGGCTACACGATAATCAGTATTATAACTTTACTCAATGCTGATTAGCCAGTGAGTATCAATCTTTCGCAAATTTCGGCATGTTGCACGAATTCTGAGTCATCCTGTAGATTTTTATCGAGGAAATTGAGACCGGAAAGCAAAAAACGCCGCCGTTGAGGAAACCAAAAAAAGGACAGCGCCACACGCTACATGAGGACGTCTTCGCTTTTATTACCTAATTAGGCTCATGCTTGCGCATAGTACCGAAAATAGCCGAACTGAGACAGTAAAAGGTAGCCAACTTCAATTATGCGCAGTTATTGACAGACAACGTATTCCGCTCATATTCTTCGGGACATTACATCTAAACGCAGGCCTATTCATCTTATCTACAGATATGCAAGTCAAGGTAGGAATAATCTTAAACATTTGCAGAATGGAGATTGCCCGTTAACTGGTTCGTCGGCCATTCTGCGTCGCTAGGCGAGACAAGAAAGCTTTAAGAAGCAGCAGTTATTTTATTGGTACTGTTTTATTCACTTATTCTATTATTATTTCTATTTGATGATATGGTACTGAATAAATGAAGTGCCTCAATGGACGAACTAATGCATGGTAATTTCTAACATTATATATTATTCAGCAAATTAATTTAAACAGGGCGAAGATCACAAATTGAGCAGAATGTATTGACGTCATACAATTTCGTGACCTCTAATTCATCTGCCAACGGTCATTGCCTGTTAATATAGTAAATTAACTGTCCAATTAGAAGGGTGAGGTCACGAAATTGTATGACGTCAATACATTCTGCTCGGTTTGTGATCTTCGCCTTGTTCAAATTTCTTCCGGGAAAACAATGTTTCAAATTAATTTGAGTTATTTTTATTAAAAATACGAGAATTGGAACCCCTCGTCGTAGAGGTGGCCTCGCGCAAAATTCCATAGAAATGCTGGTGGGGGCTAAGCTCGGGGTTGTGGTGAAGGTTTGGGTTAATGTTAAAGTAAGTGTTAGAACACTCCAGTAGGCACCACATCTGGAATGTAATGCAAATCCACCTCTTTTCTTCTTGGGCTTCTCATTGCCCTTATTTTACTGAGTGCTGAAAAGATCGTGCTACGGCAAGCACATTCCTTCTATACCGAATTACCAACTCGATTTCAGAAATGTAAGCCAACTTTTTAAATGCAGCATTGCATCAGCGCCGAATTAGTGATCAAAATGTTGTAAATCCTAAATCCAACAGGCAAACAGCAGGAGGTGCGACTTGCAGTCATTTTCTCCGGGTAATTCATTTTAGAAACTATCATCTTCATTTCCGGTCGAATCGGGGTCATGCCTGAATGACCGGAAGTCGGCATTGACAAACGGCAGTGTGATGGCTAAGTAATCATTAGTTTTGGATAAGAATCACTCCAAAACTTCCACACAGGCATGCTGTTTGTACAATTCACCTATATTCAGAGTGCGTAGAATTCCAAGACAAAGAGTAAAAGCAGTGGACTGAATGTTTTTATTTTAAACGCGGGACTTTTAGTGCGCGCAAACGTCAACATGTTCGCGTTTTCAAAAGCCTACGCTTGTGTAACCTATAGGTAAACCCTGCTGTCCAACTGTCGGAGGTTTACGTACAGACTTAAGTTAACTTGGTTAAGATTGCAGCAATGTCGAAGGCCCAATTTTGTTTAAAATATAACCAAAAACCAATACTCAGTACTTCCAAAGAGTAGACGACGCGCTTAACTGCCGTCCGTTTCATTTAGCCGAAAACTTACCACTGAAAATTGACGAGTTAAACTGTCGGACACAAACAGGTTCAAAACATTCGCTTCTGGTAGCTGGCAAAAGTAGCTTATGTAGGCACACTCATATACCTCTAGTCCCAGCATTTTCTCCTGCAAAAACGGTGGTTATAGAGTTTCGGGGAGTTGGGAAACAGGATATAGGAAAGGAAATTTTTCGAAGTAGGTGTAAAGTGAGAAAAATGTAGTCAAAGTTGCTTCTCGCTGGAAGTAAGTTGTTCCGCATGTATACTGAAGGTGTGCGCGGCGCTTCGCGCCGGAAAATATACTAATTTAACTCCAGAACGGTAAGTTGGAGCTCAGGTAAGTTGAAGTAGACGACCTTCTATCCAAAATTTCAGTTTTTCGGGAAATTTAAGAAACCTAAAATTTGATAATCGGCTTCTTCCGCAATAAGTTGAACGACAATACAGATTAGGAAAATCTACAAATATCAATCAACAACAGTTCTAAATACAGCAAAATAAAATGCATTTAGCATTTATCAAAGTATATTCCACTGAGCGTCCTAATTCCCCACTCGTAAAACCCTCCAACAACCGTTTTCGAAGGAAAACATGCTGGGAGTAGGGATTAATGATTGGGCCTACATAAGCTTCTGTTGCCTGGTAGCTTATTACACAAATATTTTGCATTAGGTGGAGGCCAGTTGAAACCTTAAAACACAAAGGAAGGTTTTGGCGAATCAAATAGGAGGGAGAAGGTGACTGATGCATAGGCCATTATCAACGGTCGTGCCCAATAACGACTCAGATGTGGGCTTGAGCTACTAATTTTAGTAGTTATGCGATGGAGGGGCAACCTTGTCCGCGCGCGCCTCCCTCCGTATACCCACGGCTTTTGCGTGTTAGGGGTACTCAAAATGGAGTTGAGGGCGGATTCGAAATATCCAGTGAATAAAGTTTACATTTCAAAAACTTCGAAATTGTTTAGGTTCGCACCTGGAAACAGTCCTTTCACCAACGTGACAAGCATTATAAGTATGGACCTAACAATGCCAATGCAATGACCGGTAGGGTTCCAAATTATTCAGTAATTTAGAAAGTTCGTTTTTACCCGAGAGATACGCTTTCTTCAAATAGAGAACGTGGAGAAGACGTTATCCCCTAAGAAAATGAGTACAAGAAAGAATACTTTCCTAAATGGTTTCTACAAAATATATACTTGAATTCATAGGGGCGTCGAATATCTATGAGAAGAATTCACAATACTTACAGAGCCATTTTTAAAGAATAGACGTTTTGCAAACAGTCGTTCGAAATCTGGCC